TGGCTTCAACCATGTTCAAGAAGCCACTGTAATCACATCTGTTCTCCAGGCAGTGTCTGATTCTTGATCTGACTTAGACAACATAAAAACAGCAATGTATTTATTTGTGTGTGTGCTCACTTGCAGCAAGAGTATTTGGTAGAAATGAATCCTTTTTATAGTATAATTTTAGCATTGAGGCTAAATACATCCTTACTATTGACTACATTTACTACACCATGATAGAGGAATCTGTAGAGGAGACTTATGTCCTGGTAATGTTTTAACAACAACAAACATAGTGGTCTTTTTTTAACTGTGTTCTTCTGTGACACTAACTAAACTTGGTGTTTTTAAATTCAATATGACATTCTAAACTACTGCCCACTTGGCGTTATTTGATTTGTATGCTCTGGAAAAATAAGATTTCCTTAATGCACTGCCTATTTGCATGTGTTGTGATGAATCTTCTTTTCTTGGAGTTCCTTGATGTACTTGTTTTTCTCTTGGCAGATTGTTAAATTTTTTTTCTTTTGTTCATTTATCCCTGTCTTTGCCCTAGGAGCGTAAGATAATTGAAGACACTGTGGTCCCATTCACCCTTTCCTCGAGTTCTGCAGACCAGCTGTCCTCTTCCTCATCTGTAACTGAAGGCAGTGGAACCACGGTAAGGTCGCTGACAAAGACTGAGTTTGATATAAGTAACCTAAACCGGGTTTCCCATCACACTTAGTAACTTAAAAACAGAAGTGGCTATCCCTCCAGAGCTACATGGCTGTCACCAAACCCCAAGCCCTTTCCTGCAGAGTGGTGGTCATTGCCCTGGCCAGATCTTCACAGACAAGCTAGCAGGATCTCCAGTAGCAAACCCTTCTCTCTGCCTGGCTCAAGCCATGTGCCCCTCCCCACCATGCCACACATTCCTCTGCATTATTTGGCAGCAGCAGACATGCCCCTGGCACATTCCCTACCAGTTGCCATAAAACTAGCTTCTTATCCTCCAAATTCCTCACAAACCTGATGTGTGTTTGACGGTGGAAAGAGCCTGTAAAGACTGGTCAGCCCCACATCTCCCAAGTAAGCTGATGGCTTCATTTTGTTTGGGGGGGAAGGGACAGTCCTTGACCAATTCCTTTTGTGATAATTTTCAGAAAGATCTCAATTGCACATTTATTGTAAATACTTGGAAATTATTGAACTCTGCTAGTTTAGAGGACTATTCTTTGGGGCTGGAGTGATGGCTCATTGGTTAAGAACACTGGCTACCCTTCTAGAAGTCCTGAGTTTAATTCCCAGCAACCACATGGTAGCTCACAACCATCTATAATGAGATCTGGTGCTCTCCTCTTCCGGCATGTAGGCTCTATGAGTACATGTATAAAATAAATAAATATTTTTTTTTAAAAAAAGAAAACTATTCTTTGAATTGTAGGCAGTGGGACTGACAAAACAAAAAAAAAAAAGAAAACTATTCTTTGAATTGTAGGCAGTGGGACTGACAAAACAGGGTTGGTGCAGAAGTAGAAAAATAGAGTGGCTATAATCAGAGCACACTGTATGCATGTATCCAGTCTTATAGTTTGTCTTATTCACTTGTACAGAAAGTACATATTAATAATTTCTTTAAAGTTTAGAGACAGTGAATCTCATTCACTTGTACAGAAAGTACATATTAATAATTTCTTTAAAGTTTAGAGAAAAAAATAGAAGAAAGTTTTCATTATTCAAAGAAAGGAAAAAGTATAGATTGGGTTTCAAGTGGTCCATGGTCAGTATAAGTCATTAGGGGGTGGGTTTCAGGTAGTCCATGGTCAGTATAAATGATTAGGAGGTGAGTTTCAGGAAGTCCATGGTCAATGTAAGTCATTAGGGCCTGAGTTTCATGATCAAATATAAAAGTCATCTAGTATCTTTAAAAATTATATTCAAAATGGTCCCAATTTTTCTACCAGAATAAGGTGGGCTTGGAAAACTGTCAAAACAAAGAAAAAGAGAGAAGACAGAAGACACCTCTCCAGGAGAACGACAGTGACTCATTGCTCAAGGCCAGAGAAAGTAGTCCTCCAGAAGAGGACAGGTATGTGCCCATCCCAGACTGTCCACGGGCATTCTCAAAGCTGGGCTCTGCCATTCCCTCCCAGGAAGGCAGACCCTCTCCTTTAGAATGATCATCCTAAAGATGTGTTCTGTGTTGTTTAAACACACTACGACAGCTCTCAAGTCAGCATCCTTGTGCTCTGGAATATATAGACTTAGTTTTAAATAGACAAGGCCAGTTGTGGCGAAGAAGAGACAAAAGGATCATAAACTTGAGACCAGCCTTGGGTACACAGTGAAAGCATATCTCAAAAGAATGAATTACGTTTTAGAGCTGGAGAGATGGCTCAGAGGATAAAGTCACATGCTACTCAAGCCTACAACTTGAGTTTGATTGCCACATAAAGGTAGAAGGAGAGACCCAACTCCACAGAGTCCTCCTCTGCCCTCCACATGCATGGTGTGACATGAGCACACACATACACACGCATATGCACATGATCCAATTTAAATGTTTTAATAACAATGTAAAAAATTAATAAGAAAGACCTGTTTTATATAAAGAAGATAGTGTAAATCAACAAAGAAGTTTGTTATTGACCCAAAACCTAAAGCTTTCACTTACTTGAAATAGAGGATATGTAAGAGAGGAAAGACATTGAAGTCCTGCGGTCCCACCTACCATGGTTCCACCATGGACCTGAACTCGGCTTTGGGTGCCTGCACTAATATGAGCATGTTTACTCTGAGTGATAATATGAAGGATAATCAGTATGTCAGAACAGTTGTTGTTAGTCACTTCATGTATGGACTCTATGCTGTTCCATGGGAGATCCAAAAGTGAACACAGAAACCCCAGAGTACCTCAGACTAGACCTGACTCTGGGCTACATATTATCAATGCCACCCTTGCCTAACCTAGAAGGAATCTACAAGAATCCCAGGAAGTTGGCAGCATCCTACTGAAGAAATGGATGCTTACCTCAGAGGTGTGAAATCCCAGATAGGTATCAGCAAGTACGCATGCACCAGTAACACATTTACAGCATCCCAGAGGGACCTGAAGATGAGAAGGGTATCTAAGTGTAGTAGACTGGTCAAGGAGAAAGGTTGGCTGGGAGCAGAGTTCTGGTGAGAGTTTGCACTGAGGGGGCTGCTAATGTCAGACACCAAGCACCTGACTGTCAGACACTGGGCACCTGACTGTCAGACACTGAGCAGGTCTGACTGATAGGGCATGGTGTTGAAAGAGCAACTATTTCCAGGTAACACTGCTTCAAAGTCTGGGAAGTGATCTATTACTTAGAAAGATTTGAAGGATCCCAACACACACTCCATGTACAGATTTGCTAGTTTTCCAAACAGGCCTTGCCTGTAATTTTCCTGTCTCCTTTCTCCAGGCTTGTATCACTGTCAGCAGAAACTTTTCTTTCATCTCCTTAACTCTTTTCTTTCTCTGCACACAGAAGTCACTGAAAGGCTGGGGAATTAACCAAGTCTTCAGAGATCCCAAGTGGCCCCAGTGATTTATTTATCCATTTATTTCTAGATAGTGTTTCACCTTTCAGCCTAGGCTGGCCTTGAACTCACTTTGTAGCCCCATCTGGACTTAAACTTATGGTCCTTCTACCATGCCTGGCTTCCTAGTGAAACCTCTAGTAACTGCTCTCTTGTGAAAAATCTAGGAGCTTCGAGTCAACTCCCTAGAGGTGCTCACCATGGAGAGCCTGATGGGCAGGGAGGACTCAGAAATGATCATCTCTTGACTCTGTTAAGTTGATAGACACTAAAAATGCATAGTATTTTATGGTGGTTTTAGATCTAGTTTAAAATAAAAAGGATAAGCAAACTGTCTATTTCCTTAGACTGTAATCGCTAGCTCTGTGTATAGAAAGTCAGTTTGAACCTGTTATCTCTACTCCTAAGTATGTTTCTTTGTTTTAGCTTTAGCAACCTAACTCAAGAACCCTCAGCTCACTCTGAAGACTCCATGCCAAAAGGAATCCATCTGGACCAGCAGCCAGAGGCAGAGGCTGGGGCTTCGTGCTGTGATCCAAGCCTACAGCTAGCTCAGGGTAAGAAAGGACCAGCAGCTGGAGGCAGAGGCTGGGGCCCCATACTGTGGTCCAAGCCCACAGCTAGCTCAGGGTTTAAGAATGGAGAGACAAATCCCAACACTTAAGTTCCTGTAAACCCTCAAGTTGGCCAGAGCTGCCCTCTACTGGCAGCAAATGTCTCTCTAAGGGCCCCTTACCCTAGCTTCTGTTAAATATTTAACAGAACTTCTAATATGTGACCAGACTCTACACAAGGTCATTGGGGTCTCAATGAGACCTGAACAGGTGTTAAACAGAATAGAGGCCTGTGACGCCTTTGATGACTCAGTGAGTGAAGAACTTGCCACTAAGCCTGATGACCTGAGTCCAATCCTGAAGACTCGGTGGAAAGAAAGAGGCAACTCCCAAAACTTGTCCTACACACACACACACACACACACACACACACACACACACACACAAACACACACACACACACCTGTGGCATGTGCTCCCCTCCAACACAAAATATAAATAAATGTAATTTTTTATTTAAAAGGAGGCAGCTCACAACTGTCTGTAGCTCCATATCCAGGGGGATGTGACACCCTCTTATGGCCTCCATGGTACTGCATGCATGTGGGTCACAGACATACATGCAAGCAAAATACACATACACAGAAAATAAAATTTTTTAATCAAAGGGAGACTTTACAATAAAACCTTTAAGTTATCATAAACAGTGCATCCGTCAAATGTCCCGGTCCTACCATGGAACATACCCTGCCCCAAAAGATGCTCTTGGGGGGTAGATTCAGCCAAGCCGGTTATATGTGCTCCCACCCAGCCCAATAGAATTGCTGTGAGGACCAGAAGCCATCAGCACTTTACAGGACTGTGTATTCATATTCCCAGGTATCAAATTGATGTTGCTGAACATGTTTATATTCCCTCCTTTGTCTTAGAGCCACCTCAGAACCAACAGGTGTCAAACCCATCAACATACACATCAGAAGATGTGAAGCCCAAAACTCTACCCCTGGATAAAAACGTCAATCATCAGATGGAGTCTCCGGGTGAAAGGCGGAAGTGAGTACACAAATGAGATGGGTGTGGGATTCCTTTTAAAAATGTATTGACTTCGATGGGGGAGAAGTGTAAAACGACGAGACGCCAGCAGCATTTTTGTGCGTTGTCTCCATTTAGTCATTTAGAAGCACTCCGGCATAATAGTTCAAAACTGTTTCACTCAGTGAGCCTTCCCAATACTGTTACAAGGTTGATAATCCCAGTTCTCAGATGAAGAATTTAGGGGAATTACATATCTTGCCCCGGAATTTGACTGGTTAAGTATTAGAGGAATTTACTAGGACTCAGCTTCCCAGCAAGACTGCAGTTAAACCATGCATTGTACCTTGACCTCAGTGAAGCCATGTGTCACACCTTGACCACAGTTAACCTATGCATCACACTTTGACCACAGTTAAGCCACACATCACACCCTGGCCACAGTTAAACCATGTGTCACACTGTGACCACGGTTAAGCCATGCATCACACTTTGAAGGCGCTGGCTTTCGTTACTGTAACCAGTCATTCCTCTTGGATCTGGACTGTGTGGGGTTCAGGGTCTGTCTGCCTCATCCCTCCACAGAACCTTGAGCCAGTGCCTTAGCTTTTCCCTGCCTTCATTTCCTCATTATCAGGGGGAATGAGACTGGTACCCTGCTCTAGATTCCCACACCTAGCAACTAACCAACACTGCAGTGTAGGCCATAAGCATACCCCATTAGCTTCTCTTCCTTCTCAACACGATATGGAACCACTAAGATCAGCAGGAGTTCAGATCACCTAGATGCAATGACTTGCTATGGTCACTGTGGTGATTTTCAGCCTTTTTTTTCTTTCAAGCCATGGTGCTTACACTTTGAAAATGTGCCTTTTGGAGGAGACAGGTGCCATCGGAGTTGGGGAGGCCAGGGTGAGCAGGGCCTCAAGGGATCTCACAGTCAAGCAGCCAGGAGACAAGAGGGACTTTGTCTGCCTCTGTGTTCTTGTTTTCCTTCCCTAGTCCACTCAGGGCTCCTTAGCAACCCCTGCACCCGCGTGACATGGTGGCAACATTAACTTGGGGCCTTCCCTGTTTGCTTGAGTGGCCATGTGACCCTAGCTGCATAATATTTTTCCTTTGCAGAGTCTTTGCCATAAAGCAATTTTTAAAAATCTCCCCCAAACTTCTGGGCTGCCCTTAAGAATTTCTTCCTGTGTTTATAGTCATCTGTCAGTCCCACTAAGCCAGTAGTTTTCACACCAAACTAGCATGCAACAACAGTTTGCTCAACAGTGTAGATAACAGCCCAGTAATTAAAAGTGAAGAAGAATTTACCAGTATTCTCCTTTCTAAGCAGCCATGTCAGTGTGGTTTTCATTTTACATATGTGTGCATTCCTTCTAAACATGATTACTAATTTTTTCCAAAAAGACAAAAATAAACAAAAACCAAGCATGGTAGTACATGTTCCTAACCACTACACTTGAGAGGCTGAGCCAGGAGGAGGACTAAGCTTCAGGCCAGCCTGGGTGCCATAGTGTGACCTTATCTCAAAACAAATACGTGAAGATGCCAGTAGGAGACTCCTTTGTGGTCCTTCTGTTTTCATTTTAAGCTAAAATGTCTTTTTATCAAGGCTTCTGTTAACTTTTTGTAACTGTGGGATCCTTTACAGGAAAAGCCCTCGAGAGAACTTCCGGGCTGGGCCCCTGTCCCCCTGTTCTCCTACCCCTCCTGGCCAGTCACCAAACAGGTATAAGAGGTCAGCGAGCCTTCCAGAGGTTGTTTGTGGTCATAATTCTGGCCAGATTAGTGCTTGCCAAGTGATGCTGAGAGACTTGTTATCCATATCCCTTCCCCACATACAGAGGCGGGAGGAGTCAGGAAAACATCTCCATCTGCCTGCAGATTCATCAGCACGGGGTAGAGAAAGTCAGATGTGTGGTGCTGGCCATGGCCATTAGGTTTTAATGACATTGTGTGGAACATGCAATCTAATAATAAAGCCCACCAGACAGTTGCTGGGCTCCTACAGCAGTGCCTCTGCCTCCAAGATGATCAGCCCTTGGAGGACAATGGGCTCCTCCAGAGAAATGGAGAGTCTGGGACACAGAACATCATCCTCTTTGATCCCTCCCTAGATTTCTAATGGTGGCTCTGGACATTAGGCGGTCCCCATGATATCTTTAAAAGTACCTGGGTGTCTGTCTGTCACAGGCACAAATAACTAAGGGCCCCGGGGGTTTTCATTGATTTCAGAGGATTTTTCATGGCTAGTTAAAGGGAAATCTTAATCAAAGGAGTTTGATGAGGCTGGCTCTTTGATGAGACCTCTCGATGTCTGCTCTTCTGTTTCCTCTGTCCCTCTTCCCCACTGTGGCTTTCAGATGACAATGCATGCTTGTGAATCATGGGAAGGCTGCCCATAAGACGACAGGCCTGTGGTGGCAGGTGGGCAGTTGACCCTGCCCTCTCACCTGATGTGACCTGCTGAGTTTAGCTCCAGTCTTGTGGGTGGACAGTGTCCAGGGCTATAGGTGGAGGAAGGAGGTGGGTTCAGTCCCAGGGGTTTACAATATAGAAAGCAAGTGCCATTCCTGTAGACTGTGTTTGTTCTGGAAGACACAGTAGAGATAGACTGGCCAACCCTCTCCCTTTGCAGGTAGAAGGGAGACCCAAGGAGAGCCCTTGATGGCACACCCTGGACTCAGGGAGGAGCAGGGACCCTATCTCTGGGCCTCCACAAGGCACCTTCCCTCCTCCATTACAATGAACTCTTTGTAAGGGAAATGCAATGGACGCTGCTGGAGCCACATTGGAACCGTAATAAAGCTAAATCTGAGTGTCTTTTTAGGATCTGTATGTACACATGATACGTATAGTAAATCACTCCAAGGTGCTCAGCCACATCGGATTCAGCACCACGTGGTGGCCCATCACCTTGTTGGCAGTATATGGCTCTGCTTAATTCCAAATTAATTGTCACTTTGTGATCCTCATTCTATTCATGATTTAAGCATTTTTTAAAAAATCCATATCTCCATCTTTTCATGAGGTTGCCTGTTGAGTGAGCCAAGGTTCTTTCTGACTATGGTTTTTGGTTGTTGTTTATTGTTTGTTTGTTTTTGACCCAGGTCTATTAGCGGGAAGAAGCTGTGCTCCTCCTGCGGGCTCGCTTTGGGTAAAGGAGCTGCAATGATCATCGAGACCCTGAATCTCTACTTTCACATCCAGTGTTTCAGGGTATGTACACAGCACTCGCCTCTCTGAGCTGATGTCAGAGTGTAGGTCATGTCCTGTGCTGAGAAATCCCTCCTGGGGGCTGGAGATATGGCTCAGAGGTTAAGAGCACTGACTGCTCTTCCTAGGTCCTGAGTTCAATTCCCAGAAACCACATGGTAGCTCACAACCATCCGTTATGAGATCTGGTGCCTTCTTCTGGTGTGCAGATATATGTGGAAGCATAATGTTGAATACATAATAAATAAAGTTTAAAAAGAAAGAAATCCCTCCTGTAACCTTGTAACCTCTCCCCTCATGGTAGAGACAGATGTGTGGGTCAGGTCCAGATGTAGACAGATGTGTGTGTCAGGTCCAGGTGTAGACAGATGTGTGGGTCAGGTTCAGATATGGACAGATGTGTGTGTGTCAGGTCCAGGTGTAGACAGATGTGTGGGTCAGGTTCAGATATGGACAGATGTGTGTGTGTCAGGTCCAGGTGTAGACAGATGTGTGGGTCAGGTTCAGATATGGATAAATGTGTGTGTGTCAGGTCCAGGTGTAGACAGATGTGTGGGTCAGGTTCAGCGCTAAGGATACAGCTCTCCAAACCTGAATCCCTCTTGGAAGAAAAATCCTTCTAGAAGAAAAATAAGTCTGTGCCATTTGTCTTCCCATACTTTTGTTACTAACAGCAGACACTCCAAAGGAAAGTCGGGAACGAGACCCTGGGGGACAGCCAGGCTTCTGAGTCTTTGGGTCTTAAGTATTTATTTGAAATATCTTTGCTGTTCTTTAACTCTTGTGTGACAGAGTTTTAGGTGTTGCCCTAATGGAATTCTTTCTGCCCAGTAAGTGACAGTGGCTTGCTGTAAGATTCAGTTTTCAGAGAGAGCATGCCTGTGGCCTCAGATGGTGGCTGCCTCCGAGAAGCCCTGTATTAAGTCTATTGATCTGTTGTTGTTCCTTGGTGTGTTGTGTGTTGTGTTTGAAACAATGTCTCACTGTGTAGCCAAGGCTGGCCTCAGGCTGGCCTCAAACCACTCACAGACCTCTGCCTCAGCCTCCCTAGTGCTGAGGTTACTAGCATGCACCACCACAGCCAGCCAGTCAGTGGCCATTGCTGAAGAATCTTAGGTGGTAGCCATTCTTAGTCCGATTACTTAATTAGTATGCTGTGTCAGTCATCAGCTTCTGTAATAAAGAGTGAGTAAGAGTAATGACTCTGTCTTCCTCAGTCGCCACTGTTTCCCTTTGTGTCTAAAGGAGTAGGTGTCAATAAATATTTTAGATGGACTAGTGCATTGCACGTGAGGAGCCTAGCTTCTAATACCAGATCTCCTGCAACACAGAGTGGGGGGCCGTTATACTTGGTTTGCTGTCAGATGAATAAATTGTACTATATCAGCATATCCCAGCCTCTCTTTCTACTCACACCTTTCAAATGAATATAATTGATTTTAAAGCCAAGCCTTCTACCGCTGAATTTGAGTCGTTGTTTTCTCTGCATGATGCTAATACATTTTCTTTCTCTATTTGGATTTCATCCTTTTTTTCATTGGTAGAATCCTTGGCTATATCATCAACTTGTATGGGATTAAAATAACTCACTTTATCCTTGGTATAAGAAACAGTCAATGAAGTTCACAAATCACAAAAGGCAGTGAAATGCAGTTTCCATCATTTGCTGACTGTATCCATGTGACCCAGCTAGTCTTAGAGCATGAACCAGAGGCTGTACTGAACCCTCTGCAAGGGGCTGGCACCTGGATGGTCCCCCAGTGCCACTTTCTCTGTTGCAAGTGCCGCCTACACTTCACTACTGCTCTCAAACACCTCAGCTAATGGGGGTTCCATACCCAGGAATTTGTTACCTCTAATGTGGAAATACACAACAGAATGTGTTCCTTTAGTAATTCTCTGGTAGAATGTGCTGGAAAGCCTAGATTATTAGTAGTCAGGCATCAAGGAATAGCATTGGTTACATGTTTGTTTAAAACCAGTAGGGTGTAATATGTCAGAAATGGTCCTTCTATCTGGATTGAGAAGTTGTGCATTTTAACAGTTGAGCAGGCTCTCAAGTCACTGCAATGTCACTTACCAGCTTACCAGCCCAACAGTTAGTGTCTCTCAGCCTGTGTCCTTCTTTGTAAAATACAGAAGTTGAGGTAAAATGGTCAAAATGTATTACTTTTTGCCATAAATTAGCTTATGATGACATATCTAACTCATAATAGATGCTCAGTGGACATGGAGATCATGGAAATATCCCTGTGTGCCTAAGATAAGCAGTGTCTTAGCTACTGTTCTATTGCTATGAAGAGACACCATGACCAAGGCAACTATTACAAAAGAAAGCCTTTCATTTGGGGCTCATGGTTCCAGAGGATAAGAGAGTCCATAACCATCATTGCTGGAAGCAGACAGGCATGGAGCTGGAGCAGTAGCTAAAAGTCTTGAACCACAGGGAGCAGGCAGAGTCAGACACTGGGCCAGGTATGGGCTTTTGAAGCCTCAAAGCCTACCTCCAGTGACACACTTCCTCCAACAAGGCCTCACCTCCTAATCCTTCCCAAACAGTTCACCACCTGGGGACTAAACATGCAAACAAATGAGTCTATGGGGCCATTCTCATTCAGACCACCACAGTCACCAGCATGTTCCAGACATAAGTCCCTGATTGTCCTATAACTTCTGTCCCTTCTCTCTTGTAGTGTGGCATTTGTAAAGGACAGCTTGGAGATACAGTGAGTGGGACGGATGTTAGGATTCGCAACGGTCTGCTAAACTGTACTGAGTGCTA